TGTCACTAGACCATTGTGACAATTTTTATAAAAGATCCTTATGACAGTATGTCATACAACTCTAAAAAAAGATTTGAATATTCTAATACTTTAATCTTAGTGGCTCGAAATTGACCAAATCAAAATTGACAAGACTAAACTAGGCCCAACGAACCTAAAATAATAATGGTTTTGATAAGTATATTTACAAATGTAATCATTAGAATCAGAGGAGTCATATATATTTACAAATGTAATCATTAGAATCAGAAGAGTCATATCAACAGTTGATTTTATGAACTTGTGGGATATCTAGAATAGCGGGATTATACACTTGATTAACAAAAGAATAATTTAGAAAAGATATTTATTGTAATAATTGTTGAAACAAAGATTAAAAAAATGATGTTGTTGAAAAAACCTTAGCATTAATAATAGCTACAGATAATGTTATAAGGTTTTAAATATCACTGCATTTGTTTTTAATATTGCATAGATAATTGATTTCATTGTCATATATCATATGAGATTTGATTTTAGACATATCATATTTCTTAATTTGTCCTCATGAAATTTGTTTTTGTTACCAATGGTACTTCAATCTTATTTATTGAAAAATATTAATCTTTGACCTTTACTGATAGTTAAATTTAGATTTTGTTCTAGTTATTTCACCATTAGATTATAACATATTATCGATTTTCCAAACAAGCTTATTTCATCATTAGATTATAACATATTATTGATTTACCAAACAACCTCACCTTAATATTGTATGATAATTTTCTAATTTGAATTTGTTATGTTTAAGAACATCAAAATCAGAAAGAAGATTGATTGTGCTATGAAGTGATTAAAGCTATTTTAATTGAAATTAGTGTTAAAAAGTTTTGAGAAGTTGTGCCAAGCTTTAATAGTAGATTGCTTTTAAGGAAAGAAGTTAGCTGAAATCTAGTTGTGGAATCAACATATGAAACATGATTCGTTTGGTTATCTAAGAAAATTATTTCTAAGTTTATATGAAAAAATTGATATTTTTTTAATGTGATGTATGCAAACTAGAAACGAGCCATCTTGCTTCATTTTTATTAAGTTTGAATAAAATCTCACATTAATTTATAATTATACATTATAATATTCAAGATCCACCTAAAGTGCTATTTTAGGTGGATTATGTTGGTTTTTACCTTTATTGATGACCAAACTAGGATTACCAAGATGTGCTTATGAAGTCCAAAGATAATGTGAATTTTCTAATTCAAAAGTTTCATAAAATGATTGAATCTCAATACAAGACATAGGTTCAGGTTCGCTACAATAATAATAAGAGAGAATATCATAGTTTTGAGCTTCAACAATAATTAAAAGCATGTGAAATTATTTATCAAACTATTTATTTCAATACATCATAATAGGACGAGGTTGCTAATGCGAAATTTAAAACTCATTAGAGATTGGTAGTACTTCATTGGTAGAAATTCACATGTCGTTATCTTATTAGGAAAAAAACACTTTCCTTTGCAACATATTTAATCAATTAGATATCCTTAATTTCCATTGATTCATAGACATCACTACAAGCTCATATTAACATAGTTTTTGTCCTAGTAATCTTAAATTTATTGTCCTATATGTTTGTTATGTAGCATGTGTATATACACACTAATGCAACAAGTTGACTTCTAAAGCATTGTGATGTGTTTTTATCATGTATGTTGATCATCAAAAGGTGTATTGATGTTATCATACTTTGAATAGATAAATATTGATCATAATAAATGTTGTTTTTCATGAAGACATCAATATTTTTCTTTAAAAAACCTAAACTTCAAAGTGAGCATTGAAAGGAAATTCAAACTTTAAATTATGATTTTCTAAACATAAATTTGAATTCTAGTAATGTTGATTTATAAGTTAGATTGGACAATAAAGAAACAAGCGAGTTGGTTTTTAGTGGTATAATTTTGGATCAAAGTGGTGATGAAAACTTAGAAATTGAAGATATGAATCCAATAAATGTTTTTTTTTTTAGTTAGAATCTCTTACAACTAATATACCAAACCAATAAATTATTGAGGTACTTGGAAAATTATCAATGGAAAATTATCAACTAAAGACATACAAAGTAGAACTTTCAATGAAAGTTAAATATCTAATAAGTCATTATACGAGTAACCATTATTCATTAGAATCAAATCTATCATTTATAAATTAAATATTTATTGTATCTATTCCTAATAATGTGCAGGAAGTCTCAACTAAAAAAGTAAAAATCAAAATTCATCCTTTACCAAGAAAGAAATTAATTAGATTTTGATGGATCTACAAGAAAAAGTATAAGTCTAATAGTATAATTAAACTCTTTAAAGCAATACAGGTGAAGAAAAGTTACACTTAAACCTAGGAATCGATTATATAAAGATATTTGCACCTGTAGCTAACATCAATATAGTTCCAGTTTTCTTGTTTTTATCTTTGAACTTAGATTAGCCATTACACTTATTCAATATGAAAAATACATTTTTATATGATAAATTATTAGAAAAAATCTATATAGATCTCCCATCTATGTGTATGATACTTGAATGGCATAATTTGAAGGTGTAGTGGTCGAAGAAATTATTGTATGGAGTGAAACAATCTTCAAGATGAGATTTGGAAGGTTTATAAAATCTATGATAACCTTTATTTGTTATCAAAACAATTTAGATCATATATTATCCCTGAAAAATAGTAGGATAAAGTTACCACTCTTATTTTATATGTAAATATATGTAAATGATACGGTGATTATAAAAAATGATTTTTAAAAAAGAAAGGTCATAAAAGATTACTTGGTTAAATAATGTAAAATGGAAGACCAAGGTTTTTTTAAAATGTTTTCTTAGAGTTGAAGTGTCTCAACATCATAAAATATTTTTTTTATTGTAGAAAAAATATATCATAGATCTAAGAGACTAATATGTTAGTATATTAACCACTAGATATTCTAGTAGAAAAATGTCTAAAATTATATATGAAGTCCAATTAGACACTGACTAACAAAAGAAGATATTATTTGTAGAAAGATTGATGTATTTAGCACACGTAAGCGTATATTTGGCCTATGCATCAAGATTGTTGGTTAGTTTATAGATAATTCAGGATAGCAACATATAAGTAAAGTTGAGGTATTTCAAGGTTGCACCTAGAAAAAGAATTTTTTTTTAACTAAAAATGCATATTTCCATAGCATAAATACATATATTTATGTTGATTGGACTAAAGTAGTAGATGATAGATGGTTTATTTTTTATTACTTTATCTTCGTTGATAGTAATCTTATTACATGAAAAAAAAATAAAAAAACAAGGTATTGTTGCTTACTTAAATACAAAATTTGAATTTAAAGGTATGAATTTTCGACTCTATGAGCATTATAGTTAAGATTTTAATTGCAAACTTTGATTTATACAACAAGAAAATCGATTCAACTATATTATAATAGCATGTGATATTATCTGTAATTTAATTTAACATGATAATATAAACGTTGACATGTTTTTTATAAAGAAGTTTTGAGGAATAAAAAAAAAAACTAACAAACTAGACAATTGTCACATTTATGCAACAACTTAAAAATCAGTGTTGAGATTTCTTGTATATTTTATAGAAATTGTATGAATATTTAGTTTTTTAAATTTAGAGCAATATATAAATATGATATAGTGATCTCATCACAAAATAAGAGAAAGTTAACAAATTTTATAGAATAAATAAATTCTACAAGAATAATATATAAAGTTGTGAATAGACAATCTAATATTTTAAATGACACAGGCAATCAATAATAAAATTTAATATAACAAATGATAATATAAAAATAGAATCACTTAAAATAAAAAAACAATAGAGAGAAAGAGAGAAGCATCGTCATATCATGATAGCACCAAACTTTACCAACAAATATTCTCAAGTGAAAATTCCAACTAAAAGATGATGTGATAATATTTAAGGTATAAAATTGATAGTGCATATTTAAAACTCTAATTACTCCCTCTCTCTCTCTCTCGGTACCCTAAGATGAATAACCCTACAAACATCGAAGTGTCACCCTAATGAAACAGCACTAACAACAAGAATAATATGGCGACTCACCGTAAAATGCATGTTGGATTAAGCAACGAAAGAATATATCCATACATTGTAATGTGTCATCTTCAGGTGATGGGAATTTCAGAGTTTACTTTGAATTGTTTGTGACGTTTACCTGCATGTAATTTCAGAATTTTCAAATCTTTTTTTTTTCTTTGTTTTCAGAATCTTTAAAAGCAACCATTTCTATGGTTGCCAACTGTATATTTCCCATATATTTATCAAGTTGATAGCTAGCACATATATAGTTGACCCTAGAGGTGACAATGTATGGTGCACATATATAATCATATCTATTTTGCATTTTGCCTTGTGCTGGGATCTCATGCTCCTACATGTTCCCTTCATTTCGTCGAAAAATTAGTGCATGACGCACAGAAAAGGAAGGCGTGAGAAGACTAGCTAATGGTATCTGCTAGCTGCGCATTCATGGAGGGTTAAAAAACCATTTAAATTTTAAAGTTGAAGTTATTAAATAAAAGTTTAAATAAAATTTTGTATTAACTTTCTAATATGACAAATTTTCAAATTTAAAATTTGTACAAATCCATAATTTTAATTTAATTAAAAAAATAAAAATGATGAGATTTACATTCTTAATTGCTTGATCAATAAAGTTATGATATTGATTATTTCAATTCAAAATTTTATATTGTTAAATGATATCTTAGAAATAGTTTTATATTAACTTTCTCTGAAGGATTGATTCAAGTGTACATTCAAAAACATATGATTAATACTTAATTATATGACTACCAATAGATCTCTCTATAGATTATTTTCTATATAGTATATATGATACTCTTTGCAGCCGCAAGAGGTGGGAAAAAAAAAACATAACATGCATGCTGAAATGACTTCATTGCTACTAAAGCCATAGAGCTCCAGCTTCCTTGAGCAGTTTCTTCAAAGAGCCATTAAGCTGAAGGGTCATCACTGTGTTTGCAGTGCCTACAAATTTGCCCCCAATGAACACTGCTGGCACGGAGGGGTTACATCCTAGCCTCATAAGTGCCCACTCCATTTCCTTCCCTCTGGAGTCTTCATCGAGCTCATAAATTGCTGGGCTTACCCCTTGTTCATAAAACAGTCTCTTGATTGCATGGCACATACAGCATGAGCTCTTGCTGAATATCACCACTGCCTTTTGGGATGCCAATTTTGCTACTCGATCCATATCACAACCAAAAATAAATGTATCTTCCTTCTTCTTTTTCACGCTCAAAAGAAAATATGCTATGTCAGTAGTTGAACAAGGAGCTAAATAAGAGTTTAAAATCTAAAAAATCTATATGAAAATGAAAGAAGAATGTTAGTGTTGGTTATTTGTAAAGCTTTATAAGATGTCTGCTAGTTTTGTTGATATTTGATGGTATGCTTGGAGCTCTTGTGAGCCTATATATAGGCTGGGCAGCGAGAGGAGTGCATTTAATGTTTGCATTGTTTAACGCAAAGTAATTAGAAAAAGGTTCCTTCAGATATTTGGATTGATACCCCCAAAATTAACCTTGATTTGATAGTGACTTGTGTGGTTTGCTTTAAAATATTTCAGTTTACATTGTGGTTATAGTTATTTTTTAAATAATTTTTAAAATATATATTAACAATATTATTTTATTTTTTAAAAATTATTTTTAATATTATCATATTAAAATAATTTAAAAATATTAAAAATATATTAATTTGATATAAATAAAAAATAAAAAAATTAATGTTTTAAAAAACTATTTTTAAAATACAGAAACACTAATTTTATTGTGCCCAGAATCAAAACACTGTATGGATAAGCCGAATGCTGCCGAAAGCAAGTAGGGAAAAGGTATATCAATTACTAACAAAAGGTGCACTAGCTATTCGTGGACAGAAATGGCAATGGCTGCACGTGGCTTGTGCATGCAACAATGTCAAAGTTGCATGAGCGAGGTGGGGGAATGTCAGCTTTCGAGGATATATGATAACGTTGGATGCCAAGGTGCCCGATACAGACTCCCACACGAATAGTTGCTTCGCCTTGTATGGCTTTAGGCATATATCATTTTCTCAAAACTTGCGAAAAAGCTTGCGCCTACAAAAATAATTCCTCATCTCACATGGATATTAAGCATATTATTTAGGGTTTTGTAAAATTCGTTGTGGAGGGAATATATAAGCCAATGGAAATGTCAAAATTCCAAATGGATAGGTCAGCCTTCATATACAGTTGGTTTATATATATATATATGCTAGACATAATGAAAGAAAGCAAAATAGATAAACAAAATAAGAACATAAAAGTTAACTAAGTAAAGGAAAGCATATCTGCTTGTGGGATTCATGTGGTCTCTAAGTGTTCTAGCACGGTTATTCTCATTATTCTCATTCTTTCTAGTCGACTTTTTACCATTTAACTGTTATGAGCTGAAAAACACACTGACTTACCATATACAATTGGGTTTGAATACCCTTTCCCAAAGGCAATCTCAACCTTAATCACTAGATTTAATGAGTGATATTTGTGAGAATGAAAATTTGATTAGTATACTCTAATTGTGTGATCATACTAGCTAAGAGATTTACCATCTTTTGCTTATAAGTTAACGAAGGATAAGATGGTTGCAAGTTACAACTTTTTGTTTTTTTGATGTGAGGTTGCGACTCAACCCCTCTTGTACTCCGCACGTGGTTTTGTACTGCTAAATATATAATATTTTCAATGAATTTCTTCAATTAGACTTTCAAGATTTTGGTCCAAGACAAACTAAGACTTCATCTTCACGTTATTGTGTGTGTATATATATATATATATATAAATAACAGGTAAACATCAAGCTGAAGAAACTATATCACCCAATTACCATCAATGCACGGCTGGACCTCTTAAGGTGGGATGCAGGTTTGTCTTGTTTTGGAGGGGGACGCGCGGTCAGCTCAGTTATAAGAGACGCGCTAGGTCAAACAAGGTCAAACTGAGACGACAAAGGACCAGTTCAAAGGGGGGCACGCTACCATTCCCATTACATGACCATACATCTCTCGTCATTTCAAGCATCCCTCTTCAATATCAAATAAAAATTCTAGAAATAAATAAATAGTAATTAAAAAAGCTAGAATTAAATCTGATATCAAATAAGACCAAACATTATGAGACCAAATTAAATAAAAAATCAATTAATAAAAGGATTCAAAACAAAATAAATAACAATTACAAAAATTAAAATTAAAATTAACAAAAAAATAACACAACAACACTTCATTTCGGTAACACTTTATGATTTCCAAGTAAGAAGAAAGAAAAGGAGAAGGAGAAAAAACACATAGGAGCCCATTGAGACACCACCATTAACATGCATTAAATCATAAAAAAATAGCGCGACGGGAGGCTTTAAATACCATAATAGAAGCTACTTTTTTGCTACCAAGGGGCGCTATCCGAGGACAACAAATGTCTCTAATATGATAGTGTGTGTAAGGTACGCCAATCAATTTTTATTTTTTAAAAATATATTTTATGTTTGTTATAAAACAAAATTCTTCTTAAATAACTTAATTATAACTAAAAAAAAATTAAAATTTGAAAAAGCCCATGTACACAAGTTAAATAAAAATGCATTTTCAATGGTAATTATTTCACTATACTTTTAAAATGAAAAAAAAATACTTGTCTCCGAAATAATTTGATAATAATTAATAAACCTATCAAAAAGATTGCATTACCTTTAATAATTAGTTCATTAATTTTTTTGTTTCCAAGTTCCAAATGACATATAAAAATTAAAGGATTATTTTCTATTAAAGTTTTTCTATATATTTTTTTCATGTTCAATTTTAATTTCCATACTTATTTCTAATTTCTAATTTTTTTTTTTTACTTTACAAAAGAGAACCATTTGAGTTTTAAATTATTTGACTTTGTGTTTGCAAATGCACAATAGATCCATGGTAGCCTAAGCCTAGTTTTTAAAGACTTGGGATCAGATAAGAATCCCGAGCCTATATACCCAACATGGGTGCACATCTAAGATGAGTATATGCTACGCACTTGATGTACACCCAACTTTGCATCCAAGGCATACCCTTAGTTAGGGTGTGGCATGCTCAGCCTTGTTGGGTAAGCTATCTAATATCCTCGTGGGCTCAGGCTCTCATATTAAACTCAACATGTTTAGATTCAATTAGTATATTTAGATTTATTTCTTATCTTGACTGAGCCTAACACTCATTTGAAAAAAAAATTCAAGACTCTATGTAAGTCTCTTAGTATTTTATATTGATTTAATACTATTATTTTGAGTAAAATAAGCACAAAATATTACAATAGTAAACTTACACTTCAGTCCCTTTTTTTCACAAAATGACAAAATCATGGGCATAAATACACCATGAATCCTTCAAACTTAAGATTCACAATCTCTTCATTCTTAACACTTCTAATATATATATTTTCAAAGTCTATCTCTTTAAAATATCATTGTAGTTTCTCTCTTTATAAAGTTACTGACTTAAGCATTTGAGAGTCTCTACATCTATCAAAAGAGACCATTTATAGGTACCAGCTGCCAGCCACCTTGGCTTACCAAGCACCACCTACTACCAGCTTCCAACGACCTAGGCTTTCCATATCAAGTTATTAGACACCTTAGTTAGGGAGAATGAATCATATTGCTTGAACTAAGAAATTAATCAGTTATCCAACACATCAAAATTATTCTACAAGTATATATGGTTTTAGAACATTACCCCACCAAACCTTTAACAACCCACTAGTCATATATAACTCCTCACTCAGATCATACTGGTAAACCAATGGTAAAATTAGACCACCCCAATAATGTTTGACATCTTTAGTAACACGTCATGCCCTAGCATCACGACCAGCAGCCATACCAAACACCTGCAAATGATTACTGATTAGTACTTAAAAGTGTATTTTTATCAAGGTTTTACATCATCATTTTACACTTGAAGTATCAATAACTCCTTAACTAAAATATATTTTGTAATAACATATCTAATAATATAAGATACCTTTAATTTGTGGTAAATGTTCATTTTAAATGCAGGCCTATCACATAAATGAAAGGATTGATTGATGAGTTTAACAACTGAAATTGAAAGGATGAAGAGATGACCAAACTTAGAAAAAAGATGTTAGTGCAGTCTAAACCGGAATACTGTTCGGTAATTGGGTCATATCTGAAGCTGTAGATCTTAGATTTAGGTCTACTTCATATAGATGGAAAGGTAAAACATAGGCTTATAATTATTATATGGAGCCTAAGATTTAAAAAGGTCATTTTCAAGTTCAAATTGTAGCAACAACAAAGAAGTCCGAATCTATCCTACAGCCCGCTCACTGTTCAATATTTAGCCCATATCTAGAGTTCTAGAAGTCCAAGTGACCTCTGTTTTTTTCCTAGAAAGCTGAGACAATTTCCTACAACTTTCATGTTTCAAGTGGTTCTAGTTCTAATGTTATCAATGATGTTTTGGGCAGACAAGAGAAGATAGGGATTGTCACCAAGTCAAGAGTTGGCCACCCACTCATCAATTAGTCATCAAATTAATAGTTAACTTTTATCTTATTTATGTTCCAAATCAAAATCATGCCTTGTTTTCTCTCTTTGTATTTTGGTAATGCTTAAGTTTTGCTTTCATTAATATCAAGTTTATGCCTTTCAATTCCTTTCCTTTACATAGTTAACTTTTATCTTATTTATGTTTTTATTTTGTCTATTTATTTTTCTTTCTTTCATTATGTTTAGCTAAGTTTATTATATCAAGGTGAAAAGGTTACACTAATGGTGTAAGAATAAGTATAATGTAAACTTAATATGGACTTTAATGTTTGATACTAACATGTTTTGTATTTGTTATCTTGTTCACTTTTTAATACTTTGCTTGTTAAACGAGTAATCTAGATTTATGTTCTATAACAATTGGTACAACAAATACTTGCCACTCTCATAGCCCATACTATATGGTATAATTGACACCTGAGCTATGAAAGGAACTTGATTAGTTGTTAATATAAGTTATAATCATAAATGCCTGACGAGATTTACAAGCATTGATTAGTACTTAAAAGTGTATTTTTATCATGGTTTTATATCATCATTTTGCACTTCAAGTATCAATAACTCCTTAACTAAAGCATGTTTTATAATAATATATCTAATAATATAAGATACCTTTAATTTATGGTAAATGTTCATTTTAAATGCAAGCCTATCACATAAATGAAAGGATTGATTGATGACTTTAAGAATATAAATTGCAAGGGCAAAGAGATGACCAAAATTAGAAAAGAGATGTCGGTGCAATCCAAATCAGAACACTGTTCGGTAATTGGGTCATATCTTGAGCTATAGATCTCAGA